TCCCAACGCCTCCAACACCCCTCTAGATTGGGTCAACTCCGAGCTCCTTCTCTCCCTCTCTGACGGCGCGCCCCCGCGGCTTCGTGCGCGGTCGCCCACGCGTGGCGAGTCCGAGCCGGATCCGGATTCGGAGCCGCTCAGCCGGACACATAGCCGGAGTAGCCGGTCAGTCAGTCGCGTGCTTAGCCGTTTGTCGAGTCGTGCCGGAAGCCCGGAGCGTGCACACCACCACCAACATGGCCACCCTCACCCTCACCCTCACCCTCACCCTCATCCCGTCCCCCAGCCCGTCTCCGGCTCTCACGAGACATACTTCCACGGGGGGCACGCAAGCCGGAACATATCCAACCTCTTCTCAGCCACGATGAAACCCTTCTCCACCTTCTCCCCGCACTGGATCTCCCGCTCCTCTCCCGCGCACGAAGTCCCCACCGCCGCCGAGCTCGAGCGCGAGCTCGAATCAGCGGACGCGGCACAGCGCCCGGCGTACATGCGCGGGATCAGCCTGCCGGACCCGCACTCGGGGACGGGGCTGCTGCATCGCGCGTTCACGGAGGTGCCGGACTATGCGGTCGCGTCGAGGGGGTTCATTGGGGGTGTGCCGCCGTTGTCGAGTATGCAGGGGCTGCCGTCGTATGAGGAGACGGTGAGGACGCAGAGTGAGAGTGATTTGGCGGGGCGGTTCGCCCAGCTTTCGGCGGGGGGGCCTGCGCGGGCGCCGCCGTTGGTGCGCCAGTCTTCCTCGGCTTTGTAGTTTGTTCTTTGGTTTTTTTTGGTTTTCTTCCACACTCCGCTCCGCTCCATGGCATCCCATCTCTTGGTTATAGATCTCTCTTTTGCATTAGACATTGGACTTGACTACCGACCACGTATATATAGACTTCAGGAGAACGCGCCGTTGCCGCTTGTATATCATCATCTGTTTTATTCAACCCATACCTATGCACCATTTTTCTCTACATCCGTAATTACTACTAATGACCTCGCCATCACCTCAAATAACAAAATAAAATCGACTTCTCGAACCAAGCTGTTCAAGTAACAGAGTGAGGAGATGCGTGAAACCTCTGACTAGTATCAGACGATTCACATACACCTTGCGCTCATGCTCATCCCCTCTTACCATGATCACATCTAATCACCTCGCCACCCCTGAAACCAAAAAATGATATAGATTTAACCAAAATATTATTTACCAACCGAAAGTAAACAAGACGGCCCAGCGGGGTCCAGAGAAACGCAAGACGTAGAGTAAGTATCTGAATCCTAATATAGGGGAGAGGCGACGCAGTCGTAGGGTAGGGTAAGAACACGGGCTCCTCTATAAGTGATTTATCAATATCAGTCTAGCCGTACCTCTAGGATCGATCTCTACGAGGTCAAGGTCTACTGGTCTACTGTGTCTTCTCTTGCTCGTCGAGGTTCTTCATGATCCAGGGCTCGGGTGTGACGAACTGCGCGGTGGGGACTCCGAGCTCGAACAGGCGGGAGACGACGTTGGCGAAGCTGGAGAGAATGGGGTGTGTGTATTAGTTGGATTCTTGAATGGGAAGAAGGGGAGAGGGGCTTACTCCCTGAAGAAGAGGTCGCTGTCCTCCGCGTAGGCCTTGGCGTACTTCTTGAAGCCCTTGTCTTGGACGAGGACGTAGTCGGCGCTGCGTTTGAATAATATGAGTCGCGATACCAGAGCAAGAATGAGTAGTACATACGGGAGCATCATCAGGGTCTTAGTTGTCTTGTCCTCGAGCTGCTTCGGGCCGTTCCATTTCTTCCAGGTCCACCTAATGATGTGTTTAGCACATGGAGAACACTAGCTGGGAGAAATGCGATTTACTTCTCGTCAAATAGGAGTTTGTAGTAATCGTTGGTCAAGGTGGTCGGGGAGAAGGTCCACGGACCGGAGAATCCGGACCTGTGGTACTAGCCATCAAAAAATGGAATGGTGAAAAAAAAAGGAATCACGTACCTGTCAGGGTGGCAGCGCCCTACAGCATGTGCGCCGGAGAGAGCAACGATTTCCTGATCATTGAAGCTGAGTGTAAAGTCAGCAAACGATATCAGTATATCGGGACGTTAAGCAGAGCATACCCCATGCGTCCGAAAATCTATAACGTGCGTAAGCAAGACATCAAAAAGGTGGAATGCTGCGCTGCCTTACACTCCTGAGATGGTCTCCACCTTGCGTTGCGTCAGGCAGACGGCCATCGGGGGTAGCATCCACGGAGAAACCATCGACTCTGCCAGCCCTCCAGGGAATCTTGGGTCCAGCCATCTCCTAACACGTCCCTCATTAGTTGACGCGTCGACAAAATTAGAGGTGGCGCGCCACACCTGAACAGCAGCGACACCGCCGAGAGTCCACAAGTCACCGTAACTAATCCAATCGAATTCCTTTTTGATCTTCTCCATGAGGTCGCGGGCAATGTTCAAACCGTTGTTCGCACCGTGCTTGGACTCGGGCTCGAAGCGCATGGTGGCGTAGTTGCTGGAGGGGGAGGCAGGGCCGTCAGTGCTGCGTCCTGGGTAGATAGGGGCTCCGGCTCACCTTCCGCCAGTCTTGGAGTCCTTGTCATACGTGCCAGACGAGTGCCATGCCAAACGGAGGATGACCGGGGCATAGGATCCATCTGATGTAAACGTCAATTTCCTCATCTCACCCGGGGCAAGGGGCACGCACCGTCGTATTCGGATTGGCCAGCCTCGTCGAAGAGCTCAGCAATCCTATTGTAGACCTGCAGTCGGTATAGGATTAGCTTTGACAGGTGCGTAAATTTTGCATCCGTTGCGTGCCTTTTGGTAGTCCTCCTTCGTCGGTGTGAAGTGCGTCTTAGCCTTTGCGGACTGAACTGCCGACTTTATGGCGGTCTCGGTGTCGCTGCGAGCGTCGGTATAGAAGTAGAACGCGAGACCACCAATACCGGCAACGGCTCCCAGTCCCAATATCAGGTTTTTGTTCGACTTGGTGGCAGGTTGGGGAGTTTCTGTCGAGTAACGGCGGAAGGCCGACCTGAACTGAGCCTTGGGGACAGACCTAGAACCAGCAACGGCGGCCCTACGAAGAGGAGCGCGAAGGAGAGAGAATGACATCGAGCTAATAACGCAGCAACGCGATTAGTAGAGAGGAGAGAGATGGATGACCCCGGAACAGAGAAAGGTCTAGAAATATGAAATGCAGAGCCGATAATCTCGGGTACAGATTTGTCAACCAATCACGTTCCGTGGTTTATAAGGAGGAATCACTGTCAGGTGCATTCTGTTGCCACCGCCGACGTCCAGGAGCTACATACCGCGGGCTCGAGGTTCTGTGGCGCCACAGTCGCGCATTCATCAGAGGAACGTCCCTGCGAAGTCTTCGAACCGTTTAACTTTATGTACATGTCAAGCGCTAAGATTAGAGATTCAGAAACTTCGGAGGCACATGACCGCACGCAGACCACATGACCGCGATGTAGCCAATCCCGAGTTCCGACTCACTCTCCTTTACAAGTTCCCCCCTGTTACCCCTAACCGAAACGCTCGAGCTCTTGCTCCTCGAGCACGCCAACAAAAAATCGAGGGTCGGACGAGGTCCCCATCTATCCGGGACCTGCTGCATATCTCTCCGCGCTAGTTGACGTTCTCGGTGCTGAAGCACTGACTTTTGTAACTTCTCGGCAACAATGTGACCAGGATGGCTACATGAAAGGAAGGCGACTGTTTACAACTATGCTGCAGTGTTGCCTTCTCAACCTATCATTCCTATGCTCTGAGCTTCGAGCACTGCCCCATGCCGCCTTCTCCTGTCACAAGGCACAGCCTTCACGCGCCTCATTTCCTTTTATGTATGTCAGACTCATTTCGGGATCTTTTCATCTGGGCAGAGGCGGGTGCTTAGTCCTGATTAGCGCCCAAGCATGATTCTATCGCCTTGCCTTGCGCAGCCACTCATACATTGTCCCCCTTGGGTCCCCCTTGGTGACGCGCATCCCACATCACTCCGTTCTCTCGCCGTGTCCGACGGAACTTAAAGGCAGAACGTCGCTCATCAGCTTCCCTCCTCAAAGCTCAAACATCCCATCATGAACTCTCCACCTTGGGCCAATCCCTGGCACGGCTACTATCAGCCTGACCCCAACGTCTACATACCACCACCCCTGAGCGCGGCACAGGTGTATGGAGATCCTCGACGACAATACAGACCAGACCCTCCCCGTAAATGGCGCCCATCATCCTGGTTTTCTACCGCAACTAACCAGATTGGCGCCCACGCAGGATATGTATCGTCCAAATACCCCAAGCTGCACCCCCTCCTGGCATCCGACACCACAAGGCTCCGATTCAACGTGAAGAAAAAGCCCCAGGAGATAGAAGCCACGACCTATTTCTCCAACCGACACGTCCCGGCCACCGAAGCTGGAGTGAGGAAGCTGCGACTCATATCTAAGTCCTTCCCCTGGTCCATCGACATCGAGTCTCCGGTGCCCGTTACATGCGAGGCCGTGTGGGAGGCTTTATATCGCGCGCTGCAGGAGCCGATTGCGGATTCGGAGTGGGGGTTGATACTGAGCATCAAGAAACAGAGAGAGGTCGTTGAGAAGGCGGCGAAGAAGCGGCTGGATGAGGATCGGAATGATGTGGTGAAGCTGAGGAGGATTGATTATTTGGGAGAGGCGACGATGTTCAAGGGTTTGGATAGGGATGATGATTTTGGTAAGATGAGGCTGCTTCCGGGGACGAAGGGATGTCCGGATACGTGGGTCGTCTCGTTGGGAACACCATGATCATGGCGACTTTCGACTCCACTCGGACGTGTCGGTTTGGACTTCTGTGTTAGATCATCTATGATCTATGGCTTTCTTATGGTACTTGCGACAGGACTCAGGAGTCAGGAATATACCACTTGTAATTTTGTTTGTTATGTTTGAGTCACGTCCAAGGCTTGTAAATGGGTGCAGCGTGCTGTAGCGTGCGGGAGGGAGTCCGAAGAAAAAAAAGTTATGCGGTGTCTTCTACTAGGTATATACACTGAAGGGGAATCGAACCCCTGCCGCTTGCTGGATACGTTCAGCTCCGAAGATTCTGAATGGAAGGCAAGCATGATAACCACTTCACCATCAGTGTTGATGAAAGCGATGAAAATTGAAGATACTCTTCATGATGGTATACTTGAAGTATGTACATGGGTATGCAGTTTCGGAGCTACGGACATAGCTCACGACTCGGCGCTCACAAGAGATAAGGATGATTTGAATTTTGAGGTAAAAGAAGTAAAAGCACGGAAGCCCCCTTCCCTGACGGTGCTACCGTTGAGGTGTATAACTGTACGCGATCGGTGATCGGGCAAGTCACGTGTTAATTATTTTTGGGCCTTGGAATTTGAAAAGTTCGCGGGCTATCTCAGTCTGTGTCTATCTGTGTTCATCTCAGCACGCCTGCAACCTGTGCTACCAGTCCAAACATGGTCTCTTTCCAGTAAGTGAAACCTCTTTCCGAGCGAACGCGAATTTTAACCATTGAACCCACAGATGTCATGGTCAGTGCCCTCCATGCCCTCCATGTTAAATAAGTACTGTGTCTCACTTGATTCTCATTTAACCGGACAGCGTGCAGCGACGTCGTGAAGAAGCCCAAGCTGGATCAACATAGATCTAGATGCCATAGTGGGTTTGACTGCATAGACTGCTCAACGACATTCCATACCCCCGCCGATTACAAGGGCCACACACAATGTATCAGTGAAGCGGAAAAATACCAAAAGAGCCTATACAAAGGTCCCAAAACAGTACGCTTGTCTCTACAACATATGAAGTTACCCTGAACTCTTAAAGGCTGCCCCTGCGCCGCGGAATAACTATCCACCTCTACCGCCAGCCCCCACCGCCCCGCCAGGGAGACAGCAGTGGGGCGGCCGTGGTGGATTTGGAGGAGGCCGGGGAGGTAGAGGAGGCTGGGGACAGCAAAGGACATCGGCTACTGGTGCCAACGATACTCCCCTGGGCACTCCAGCCCGTGCCCCTTCTCCTGTTGCAAGCCTGGCACCGCCACCACAACCTGCCGTTGTGCAGCAGGTGAAGACACCGGCGGTTAAAGCTCCGGAACCCCCTACGCCTGTACTGACGGAGGCACCTTCTACTTCGTCTGATAAGAAAAAGAAGGACAAAAAGCGGAAATCGACCGCTGAAGATACCATGGTGAGCTGCGGCATTATGATTGGACGACCTTATCATTGGCTAAGTATATTTTTTAAATAGAATGAGGACAGCGAACCTCCCAGCAAAAAGGCCAAGATCCCCGACGACGAGTCGTCCGAGGTCCAGAGAAAAGAGAAGAAGTCAAAAAAGGACAAGAAGGACAAAACCAAGGTGAAGGCAGCGGAGGAAGATACATTGGTCAGTGAGGCGGTAGACGGAGAGAAGGAGAAAAAGAAGAAGCGTCGGAAAGAAAGTGAGGAAGATGTCGAGATGAGTGCGCCGGCTGATGAGGGAACGAAGAAGAAGAGCAAGAAGGAGAAGGCGAAGTCGAAGGAAGGGGAGTCGGAGGCCGTTGAAGAGAAAGAGTCGAGGGAAAAGTCGAAGAAACGGAAGCGGAAACAGGAGGGTGAGGGGGAGGACGCCATGAACGTCGATCCGTCGGACGTGCCCGTAGTCGTCAAGGAGAAGAAGGATAAGAAAAACAAGGAGGGGAAGGAGAAACGGGACCAGAGCGAGAAGAAGGAGAAGAAGGAGGAAAAGAAGTCTAAACAGGCTTCATCTGCGTCTACGGAGCAGTGAGTTGGTACGCATCGTGGCAGCAAGTCAGTTTGCGCTCTCTTTTCTGCGTTTCGCCAGCTTTCTGGTTTTCTATTGACTCGATTCCCGCTTATAATGGAACGAGCCGTCCATCGTGTCTCTACATATCTACCTTCCTATGGTTATCTTGCATGCTTGTTGTCGTCTACAAAACCCAGTACTCGCGAGCACGACCGACTTGAATTGGCCATTCGGAGACAATCTCGATCATACAGTTCATCATACCTGATTTAGACAAAGCACGTGTGGAAACGTAGGCAAATCGATTTGGAGTTGAACCTCGCCTCTTCCCCATATCCTGCCATAACCATGCAAGCAATTCAGGTATTTAGTCGCTAGCAACAACTATAACAATTTACTCACGATCTACGTAGTCGCATTTCTGGAGCGTTCGCGACTATCTCAGTCCCGTATGTCATATTCCTGCGGCGTTCAGCATGGAGATCAGCTCACCAATCAGTATTCCAGGTCCTCAAGGAGAGCAAGTTCAAAGAACACGGTCGTATTACACCTGGTTTGTATTGATCGTTGTCAAGGACGCGTTCAAGTAGCTTACCTCACGGTTTCAGAGGAGTTTGTGGCGGCAGGCGACTTCCTGGCGTACAAGTTCCCAGTCTGGACATGGTCAGTCGCAACGCTCGTACTGGTGGTGTGAAATGTAACCTTGTGCTTCATAGGGAGAAGGGAGATGCATCGAAAGCTAGAGACTTTTTGCCGGCTGATAAGCAATACCTCCTGACCCGCGGCGTGCCCTGCCTCCGCCGCGCCACATCCCTGGCGTACACCGATGCAGACGAAGACGCAGAACGCCTATTGAACTTTGGGGACTCTTCGACCAGCGGAGAGGCCGACGAATGGGTCGAAACACATGCTGGGCGCAAGTCACACGCGGACTCTGCGGCAAACCCAGGGACCATCGACGATATCCCTGATCTGGACGGGGAGCACGATAACCTAGCCTCAGGCGTTGGTGCGTTGTCGCTTGGAACTGGTGCGACGGCGGCAGAGGAAACGCCTGACCTTGATGATATACCCGATATGGAAGAAGATGACCTTGAGGAGAAGGACGAGGCGACAGCAAGCAAACCGTCCGGAGTTATTGACGCCAGGTTATTATCCTGTCTTTATGATCCGACCCAGTCTCACTGACACACCCTTCAAGCAACATTGAGGTTGCGAAGGGGAACTTGCTCCAAGTGCGGACCTACGATGTGATGATAACGTATGACAAGTATTACCAAACGCCTCGTGTCTGGCTTATCGGCTACGATGAGGTGAGTTCATCTCATCCAGCCTATGTGTAGCTAGCGTCTGATCCCCTTGCTGCGAAGAACGGGACACCACTGACCCCACCTCAAATCTTCCAAGACATCTCGGCCGACCACGCGCACAAGACCGTCACGATCGAGCAATTCCTCCACTCCACGTCGCTGCAGGCTGCGTCTGTGCACCCATGCAAGCACGCGAGCGTCATGAAGAAGGTCATCGAGCGCATGAACAACAGCGTCGTGGAGGAACAGCTCTCGCGGCGGAAGTCGGGAGGTTCAGCCCCCAATAGCAAGGAGTCCAAGAAGAAGTGGCCATTCGCAAGGAAGTCGAGCGGGGGTATCAAAGACGATAAGGCTACTGGAGAGGAAGAAGAGGTTGAAGGGATGCGGGTCGACTTCTACCTCGTGGTCTTCCTCAAGTTCATCGCGTCGATTGTGCCCACAATTGAAGTCGACTCCACGACGTCTTTCTAGATCCTACACTCACGGTCACTGTCGACTGTTCGGCAGTGAGGATGATACCCCCAGGACTAGGTCGTTTGCGCATTAGAGCATAAGAGAATACTGTGCACCTCAATCATGATGCGAGCAGTTTTGTACGTTAGTAGGCAATCATCAATGTACTTGTTCTTCAATTATTACCCAGCGTCATCGGGAATATTCTTCACATGTCATATATGTACGACGGTAGTGCTGGAAAAGAAGATCGTGAATCTGGACACCCCGGGAGCAAGGGGATCAAAAAAGATGTCTTGCTGAGCAGAAAAGTGAGTCGACCCAGGTTCGAACTGAGGACCTTCTGTGTGTTAGACAGATGCGATAACCAACTACGCCATCGACCCATGTTAAACCGTATAATTTTAGTATTTACCTCGAACATAGCATTACCTTGGATCCATCTATACTATACATAGCACACTCCAGACTCTACCATCTCAATAACTATCACTATCGCAATCTTTCGGGCTTCCAGTCTTGTTATCGTAGTACCCCGCGGTCCTGCGATGCGCATCTCGTCGATAGAAAATGTACTAGAGCAACAGTTACAGGCGCAGCATCATATCATCCTGTCCCTTCCCTATGCTACCTTGCAGCTGTCACACACCGACAGCCGAATGGTGAATCCTTTCCACGCATATTACTCATCCCGCACTGCTTAATTGAAGCGTTATACAGGCATCTGCCTCCACCATCCCTTGATGGAACTCACCTGGTCAACAGAATTACTAGCCGAAGCTGCAATGTGTGTCCAATCCGAGTCATCGATGTCTATCGATGTGTAGGTCCATGATCCATTAACTTCCGTTACACTTTCTAGAATATAGACTGAATGCGCCCTATTTAAAGTCGTCAACAAGTCGGAACTATGCGCGAAGGTACAAACTTATACTTGACTTACACCTCTTCAGAAGTTCAAGTAACCTCAACATCGTAGAGAGGTGTGCCCGTATACCCAATGTGCGCACGCGGAGTCTGACTGCTGATTCCTCTAGCTCTCTACATCTTCCAAGCCTTACTAGCTTCCTCCCCAATGGAACAAAGTCTTGCCTCCATGGACGATCAAGTGAGCGATCGATTCACATTCTCAACTTGCCAAGGAATCAACTTTAATGATACGTTCTCAGCAATCTGATTCAGATGATTCAGCTGATTCTTATGAAGCCAACCCACCTAGCCTTATCATCGTCAATCATGGGCGGACACGCGCCAGGGACTTAAATGATGGTCCAATGGAACAGAGTTTACTCATACACGCCTTCACCTCCGCATTGAAGTCCATCGAAGCCAAGGGATATATAGTTCAGGGTGCGATGTATGGACCTGAAGGGGCGTGTATCTTCATTGATACAGAAGATGAGGATTGGTGTCAGGGATTGGTGTGATCATATCAACTGCAACTGACGTGAGGTACGAGTAGAATACGAGAGGCTTTTGTCGTATTGTACCTCTCGAAAATGGAGGAGTGGAGGTGATATCTGCATCTTATCGTTTGGAAAACCACATTTCTTTACATTGTGAGTGAAATTCCCCCTATCTGCAGGTAGTTTGCTCAGTTGCGTCGGTG